ACATTGGAGATAATATAAGGCAAGTACTGGAAACAATAGAACACTATGAAAAATCTGGGAAACCAGGCCTGCTATTCATAGCAGACTTTGAAAAGGCTTTTGATAAAGTACGACTGGAGTTTATATATAAATGTGAGAATATCTTATAAAATTGATTAAAATCATGTATAGGTCAACCCTAGGTGTAAAATAGTAAAAAATGGCTATTTCTCAGAAAGTTTTAAACTGTCAATAGGAGTAAAACAAGGTTGTCCACTATCGGCATATCTATTTATTATTGCCATCGAAATGTTAGCTATTAAATTCAGATCCAACAATAATATCAAGGGATTAGAAATCCAGGGCTTAAAAACAAAGGTGTCATTGTACGCTGATGATGATTCATGTTTTCTTTTAAATCCACAACTAGAATCCCTCCACAGCCTCATAGAGGATCTATATACATTTTCGAACCACTCTGGATTACAACCAAATTATGATAAGTGTGCTATATCATGTATTGGATCACCAAAAAATACAGCTTTTATATTACCGTGTAGCTTACCAATGGTCTGATGGTGATGTGGATATACTCGGTATACATATCCCAAAGGAAATAAATGATCTCACTCCAAGAAATCTTAATAGAAAGTTTGTAAAAATAGATAAGATCTTGCTACAATGGAAAGGTAAATACCTGTCTATTTGTGGAAAAATCACCCTGATTAACTCTTTAGTAATATCCCAGTATACTTGTTTATTTGCTTATGGCCTTGCCTACACCTAGTGAACAGTTTATTAAATTATATGAGAAAAAAAATATTAAATTTTATTTGGAACGGCAAGCCAGACAAAATTAAACTGGCCTATTTATATCATGAATATGAATTCGGAGGGCAGAAATTATTAAATATTAAAGCATTAGACCTCTCACTAAAGGCTTCAGTCATACAAAAGTTATACTTAAATCCGAACTGGTTCTCTAGCAAATTAGTCAGATTGTCTCACCCAATGTTCAAGAATGGCATTTTCCCTTTATTCAGATTACAACCTCTCACTTTCAGTTATTTGAAAAGGAAATCATCTCCCAAATATCACTATTTCTAAAACAATCCATATAAAGTTGGTTGCAATTTCAATTTAATCCTCCAGAAACGACAGAACAAATAATGCAACAAATAGTGTGGTTAAACTCAAATATACTAATTGATAAAAAAAAATAACATTATTTTTTGTTTAAAAAAGGTATAATCTTCGTAAATGATATCATAGGTAGGACTGGTGGAGTTATGTCACACATGCAGCTAACAAAAACATATGGAAATGTCTGCTCTACCCAAAATTACAACCCAATAATTGCATTACCGCAAAAATGGAAGAGGAAAATAGGAAGGGGGAAAAATTAAGGAACCTGTCTGTCGGCCTTGCATTAAAGAACATAATTGGTTAAAGAAAATTGTGATAAATAAAAAAGTATACCAGTTTCATTTAAGGACCAAAGGATTGACAGCCGTCCCATATAGATTGCAAAATAGTTGGGAAGAGATTTTTGACGTACCGATCCCATGGCATTGTGTTTATGATCTGATACGCAAAACGACGCCGGATTCAAAACTTATAATTTTTCAATTTAAATTATTATACAAAATTCTTGCTACCAATAGAATGTTATTTATATGTGGGATACAATCTTCCCAGCTCTACAGATTTTGCTGCAAAGAGACAAAATCATTAGATCATTTGTTTTGGTACTGTCCATTTGTGGCTTGTTTTTGGTCACAGGTCCAGGAATGGCTAAAGGATTGCAATTTTTACCTGGAGCTAACCCTGTAGATAGCATTACTGGGTGATCTGAAAAGTCATAGTCAATCGATCAATAATATAATAATACTTTTAGCAAAAATGCTTATTTTCAATTTACAATCCTTAGAAACAATTAGAATAAAAGGGTTCAGAACTTTTGTGAAACATCAAAGTACAGTTGAAAAATATATGGCAAATAGAAATCCAATATGGATGGTGTTAAGAGATAGATGAGAGGTGTTGAATGGAGTTGAAGGATGGGACTAATAACAACTAACAACTACTAATAACAACAAGATAACTAATGTAAAGCATACTGTGTCCATAATAAGTATATAGGTTATAGGTTGAGAGCTTTTGTGAAAGAGCACAGTTAGAAAGATATGGCATATAGAAGCAAACCAGATGAACATCATGAAAATGATCAGAGAGGTTGAGAGTAGAGGAAGTTCAGGAGTAAAATGAAACAAAATAGAATTATTGTCAAATTGACTGTGTCCATGAAATGTATATAGTATGTATAAGCTGGAAGTAGAGGCCTAAGCGTTGTTGTTCACTAGTTTACTCCAATTAGGGAAGGGGTCGTGGGGTTGGAAAGTAATAAAGGAAAATACATATTTTTTAAAGATATGTATATATACATATGTATGTATATGTATTTATATGTATGTATGTGTATATGTATGTATGTATTCAGACAGCCCAGAACTACACGGCAGGACCTGGTCAATGACCTGAAGAGAGCTGGGACCACAGTCTCAAAGAAAACCATTAGTAACACACTACGCCATCATGGATTAAAATCCTGCAGCGCACGCAAGGTCCCCCTGCTCAAGCCAGCGCATGTCCAGGCCTGTCTGAAGTTTGCCAATGACCATCTGGATGATCCAGAGGAGGAATGGGAGAAGGTCATGTGGTCTGATGAGACAAAAAATAGCTTTTTGGTCTTAACTCCACTCGCCGTGTTTGGAGGAAGAAGAAGGATGAGTACAACCCCAAGAACACCATCCCAACCGTGAAGCATGGAGGTGGAAACATCATTCTTTGGGGATGCTTTTCTGCAAAGGGGACAGGACGACTGCACCGTATTGAGGGGAGGATGGATGGGGCCATGTATCGCGAGATCTTGGCCAACAACCTCCTTCCCTCAGTAAGAGCATTGAAGATGGGTCGTGGCTGGGTCTTCCAGCATGACAACGACCCGAAACACACATCCAGGGCAACTAAGGAGTGGCTCCGTAAAAAGCATCTCAAGGTCCTGGAGTGGCCTAGCCAGTCTCCAGACCTGAACCCAATAGAACATCTTTGGAGGGAGCTGAAAGTCCGTATTGCCCAGCGACAGCCCCGAAACCTGAAGGATCTGGAGAATGTCTGTATGGAGGAGTGGGCCAAAATCCCTGCTGCAGTGTGTGCAAACCTGGTCAAGACCTACAGGAAACGTATGATCTCTGTAATTGCAAACAAAGGTTTCTGTACCAAATATTAAGTTCTGCTTTTCTGATGTATCAAATACTTATGTCATGCAATAAAATGCAAATTAATTACTTAAAAATCATACAATGTGATTTTCTGGATTTTTGTTTTAGATTCCGTCTCTCACAGTTGAAGTGTACCTATGATAAAAATTACAGACCTCTACATGCTTTGTAAGTAGGAAAACCTTCAAAATCGGCAGTGTATCAAATACTTGTTCTCCCCATTGTATATATATATATATATACAGTTGAAGTCAGAAGTTTACATACACCTTAGCCAAATACATTTAAACTCAGTTTTTCACAATTCCTGACATTTAATCCTAGTAAAAATTCCCTGTTTTAGGTCAGTTAGGATCACCACTTTATTTTAAGAATGTGAAATGTCAGAATAATAGTAGAGAAAATGATTTATTTTGTGCTTTTATTTAATTCATCACATTCCCAGTGGGTCAGAAGTTTACATACACTCAATTAGTATTTGGTAGCATTGTCTTTAAATTGTTTAACTTGAGTCAAACGTTTCGGGTAGCCTTCCCACAAGTTTCCCACAATAAGTTGGGTGAATTTTGGCCCATTCCTCCTGACAAAGCTGGTGTAACTGAGTCAGGTTTGTAGGCCTCCTCGCTCGCACACACTTTTTCAGTTCTGCCCACAAATATTCTACAGGATTGAGGTCAGGGCTTTGTGATGGCCACTTCAATTCCTTGACTTTGTTGTCCTTAAGCCATTTTGCCACAACTTTGGAAGTATGCTTGGGGTCATTGTCCATTTGGAAGACCCATTTGCAACCGAGCTTTAACTTCCTGACTGATATCTTGAGATGTTGCTTCAATATATCCACATAATTTTCCTTCCTCATGATGCCATCTATTTTGTGAAGTGCACCAGTCCCTCCTGCAGCAAAGCACCCCAACAGTTTGATGCTGCCACCCCCGTCCTTCACGGTTGGGATGGTGTTCTTCGGCTTGCAAGCCTTCCCCTTTTTCCTCCAAACATAACAATGGTCATTATGAACAAACAGTTCTATTTTTGTTTCATCAGACCAGAGGACATTTCTCCAAAAAGTACGATCTTTGTCCCCATGTGCAGTTGCAAACCAAGGCTCATTTCAAACTTTTCATTCTGTATAGACTAGTTGTTACTATATTGTCCGGTTGTGAACAGTATCTATCTAACATGCAAGAGAGTAATCGCTGGATTGAGCTAGATACTGGAAGATTTGAGGTGGTTTCTGTATCCGTTTCGTTATCAACTGGCAGAGGAAACTAATGTAACTATCTAACATCATAATATTCAAAGATTGAGGCAGTTTGTGGGGGTTTGGAGGTGTGGCAACATGCTAACTAAACAGGGTTGTGGAGGTGTGGCAACATGCTAACTAAACAGGGTTTTGGAGGTGTGGCAACATGCTAACTAAACAAGGTTGTGGAGGTGTGGCAACATGCTAACTAAACAAGGTTGTGGAGGTGTGGCAACATGCTAACTAAACAGGATTGTGGAGGTGTGGCAACATGCTAACTAAACAAGGTTGTGGAGGTGTGGCAACATGCTAACTAAACAAGGTTGTGGAGGTGTGGCAACATGCTAACTAAACAGGGTTGTGTGTGTGTGTGTGTGTGTGTGTGTGTGTGTGTGTGTGTGTGTGTGTGTGTGTGTGTGTGTGTGTGTGTGTGTGTGTGTGTGATTGAGAAGCTCAGCCACTCAGTCACAACATCATCAACATTCTCGGCTGAACTCTTGTTACTTTGGACTGCTCTGAAGCTCCAAATTGTACGTGGCCAAACCTTTGGACAAAGCATTGACACCCTGTCTGCCCTGGTGTGTGTGTCTGTGTGTGTTTGTGTGTGTGTGTGTGTTTGTTTGTGTGTGTGTGTGTGCGCTTTTGTGTGTGTGTGTGTGTATGTACATATCTGTGTGTGTTTGTGTATGTATCTCTGTGTGTACATACCGTAGACCAGCACGTTGGCAGAGGAGCTCTTGCGTCGAGCCACAATGTTCTTGGCCACGCAGGTGTAGTTGGCCGTGTCCGCCAGCCTAGCCTGTTTGATGATCAGATTACGGTCCGCAGTCACCAAGAAATTGGGGTCGCTTACAGGGTCGATCACATGCTCGTTCCTCTGCCACTCCACCTGAAAAATAACAGACCTGGAAGCTTCTAACGACTGTTTTCATGTTGACAACCTGGGACGTACAGAGGGATAAGAATGTCCCCCCCCCGTCCCCATCCACTGCCCCGAGCTCTATGGGCCCCATCCACTGCCCCGAGGACTATGGGCCCCATCCACTGCCCTGAGGACTATGGGCCCCATCCACTGCCCTGAGGACTATGGGCCCCATCCACTGCCCCGAGGACTATGGGCCCCATCCACTGCCCTGAGGACCATGGGCCCCATCCACTGCCCTGAGGACTATGGGCCCCATCCACTGCCCCGAGGACTATGGGCCCCATCCACTGCCCCGAGGACTATGGGCCCCATCCACTGCCCCGAGGACTATGGGCCCCATCCACTGCCCTGAGGACTATGGGCCCCATCCACTGCCCTGAGGACTATGGGCCCCATCCATTGCCCCGAGGACTATGGGCCCCATCCACTGCCCTGAGGACTATGGGCCCCATCCACTGCCCTGAGGACTATGGGCCCCATCCACTGCCCTGAGGACTATGGGCCCCATCCACTGCCCTGAGGACTATGGGCCCCATCCACTGCCCTGAGGACTATGGGCCCCATCCACTGCCCTGAGGACTATGGGCCCCATCCACTGCCCCGAGGACTATGGGCCCCATCCACTGCCCTTAGGACTATGGGCCCCATCCACTGCCCCGAGGACTATGGGCCCCATCCACTGCCCCGAGGACTATGGGCCCCATCCACTGCCCTGAGGACTATGGGCCCCATCCACTGCCCGAGGACTATGGGCCCCATCCACTGCCCTGAGGACTATGGGCCCCATCCACTGCCCCGAGGACTATGGGCCCCATCCACTGCCCCGAGGACTATGGGCCCCATCCACTGCCCCGAGGACTATGGGCCCCATCCACTGCCCTGAGGACTATGGGCCCCATCCACTGCCCTGAGGACTATGGGCCGACTGGGGAGATAATGTTATTACATACCCAGACAGCGTGAAGGTATTCACTAAATCATTTCAGAGAGGTAGATCAACTTTCTGACTTCTACATGTAGCTATGTTGTCTGTTTGTAAAGTTATGTCCAGTCTAATCCCTGTGAGAGTAGCTAATCCAGCTTGTGTTTTTACTGTTTGTAAAGTTATGTCCAGTCTAATCCCTGTGAGAGTAGCTAATTCAGTTTGTGTTTCTCTGAATGATCCCTTTCCCTTCTCCAAGTAGCTAGCAGAACTGCTGCTGTTCCATTCTATCCATATTCTATTAGAGTAGCTAGCATCTCTCCTGTTCCTCTGCAGTCCCTGTGACTTGTCAGACTATCTTCTTCTAGATGTTTCTCTGCCACACTCTGTCCATGTGCTGTGTCCCCACTGACTTCCTCCGACTACCTCTGGTCCTATTGCTAACTGTGATGGTCCCCGAACCTTGTTTTCTCCCTCTGCTCTCGTACAGGGGCTAGCTTTCCCCAAATGCTCTCAACTGCTCCTACATACACCTGGCAGAGGCAGAATAACACTGCTGTTTACGTTCTGTCCTCTGGCTAGCTAGCTAGCTGTTATCATGTTGTTGTTGTTTCTGTCCTCTGGCTAGCTAGCTAGCTAGCTGTTCTCATGTTGTTGTTGTGAACTCTATTGGAGTTGCTCTAGCAACCGTAATGTTCTACGCTGTTGGACAGTGGCTGGCTTTTCTGCTGTTGCTCCATGCTGTGTCCCAAATGGCACCCTATTCCCTATATAGTGCCCTCGTTTTGACCAGGGCCCATAGTAGTGCACTACGTAGGGAATAGGGTGCCATTTAGGACACAGCCTCTGACTGTCCCTGTGCTATCAAACAACAATCTGGCTATTCTGCTATTGGTCCCTACGCTGTCCCACAGACAGTGGTTCCTACGTCCCACAGACAGTGGTCCCTACGCTGTCCCACAGAGAGTGGTCCTTATGCTGTCCCACAGACAGTGGTCCCTACGCTGTCCCACAGACAGTGGTCCCTACGCTGTCCCACAGACAGTGGTCCCTATGCTGTCCCACAGACAGTGGTCCCTATGCTGTCCCACAGACAGTGGTCCCTATGCTGTCCTACAGACAGTGGTCCCTATGCTGTCCCACAGACAGTGGTCCCTATGCTGTCCCACAGACAGTGGTCCCTATGCTGTCCCACAGACAGTGGTCCCTATGCTGTCCCACAGACAGTGGTCCCTATGCTGTCCCACAGACAGTGGTCCCTACTTCCTACAGACAGTGGTCCCTATGCTGTCCCACAGACAGTGGTCCCTACGTCCCACAGATAGTGGTCCCTACGCTGTCCCACAGACAGTGGTCCCTACTTCCTACAGACAGTGGTCCCTCCACTGTCCCACAGTCAGTGGTCCCTACGCTGTCCCACAGAGAGTGGTCCCTACGCTGTCCCACAGAGAGTGGTCCCTACGCTGTCCCACAGACAGTGGTCCCTACGCTGTCCCACAGACAGTGGTCCCTATGCTGTCCCACAGACAGTGGTCCCTACGCTGTCCCACAGACAGTGGTCCCTACGCTGTCCCACAGACAGTGGTCCCTACGCTGTCCCACAGACAGTGGTCCCTACACTGTCCCACAGACAGTGGTCCCTACATCCCACAGCAGTGGTCCCTACGCTGTCCCACAGACAGTGGTCCCTACGCTGTCCCACAGACAGTGGTCCCTATGCTGTCCCACAGACAGTGGTCCCTATGCTGTCCCACAGACAGTGTAGGTACCTATTCTTCTACTGGTCTGTGCTGTGTGATTAGCTATCGTAGCTTCTTCTGCAGGTACAATGTATTCCTACACTGTTTCAGAGCGGCTAGCTAGCTGTTTCAGAGCGGCTAGCTAGCTGTTTCAGAGCGGCTAGCTAGCTGTTTCAGAGCGGCTAGCTAGCTGTTCCATGTACTGTAGTCAGTACCTGTCCTGTCAGAGTAGCTAGCTAGCTGTTTCATGTACTGTAGTCAGTACCTGTTCTGTCAGAGTAGCTAGCTAGCTGTTCCATGTACTGTAGTCAGTACCTGTCCTGTCAGAGTAGCTAGCTAGCTGTTTCATGTACTGTAGTCAGTACCTGTCCTGTCAGAGTAGCTAGCTAGCTGTTTCATGTACTGTAGTCAGTACCTGTCCTGTCAGAGTAGCTAGCTAGCTGTTCCACGTAGTTAGTCGCTGTGCTGTCTGAGTAGTTGGGGATGAACCTGCAGATTTGGCCCTGAGAGCCAGCCCTGAGAGCCAGCCCTGAGAGCCAGTCCTGAGAGCCAGCCCTGAGAGCCAGCCCTGAGAGCCAGCCCTGAGAGCCAGTCCTGAGAGCCAGTCCTGAGAGCCAGCCCTGAGAGCCAGCCCTGAGAGCCAGTCCTGAGAGCCAGTCCTGAGAGCCAGCCCTGAGAGCCAGCCCTGAGAGCCAGTCCTGAGAGCCAGTCCTGGAGCCAGCCTGAGCCAGTCCTGAGAGCCAGTCCTGAGAGCCAGTCCCTGAGAGCCAGCCCTGAGAGCCGAGCCCTGAGAGCCAGCCCTGAGAGCCAGTCCTGAGAGCCAGTCCTGAGAGCCAGCCCTGAGAGCCAGTCCTGAGAGCCAGTCCTGAGAGCCAGCCCTGAGAGCCAGCCCTGAGAGCCAGTCCTGAGAGCCCGTCCTGAGAGCCAGCCCTGAGCAGTCCTGAGAGCCAGCCCTGAGAGCCAGCCCTGAGAGCCAGTCCTGAGAGCCAGCCCTGAGAGCCAGCCCTGAGAGCCAGTCCTGAGCGTCAGCCCTGAGAGCCAGCCCTGAGAGCCAGCCCTGAGGGATGGGACTCAACACTGTGATATACTGCCTCCCTCCCTCTGATGAAAAAGTGATCAGAAATCAATAAGGGATAATAATTAGAGATATAATTATTGGAAGGGAGGGACCTCTATACCACACCTTGAAGAGGAAGAATAAGCTTATTGGAAGGCAGGGACCTCTATACCACTCCTTGGAGAGGAGGATGAAGCTTATTGGAAGGCAGGGACCTCTATACCACTCCTTGGAGAAGAGGATGAAGCTTATTGGAAGGCAGGGACCTCTATACCACTCCTTGGAGAGGAGGATGAAGCTTATTGGAAGGCAGGGACCTCTATACCACTCCTTGGAGAGGAGGATGAAGCTTATTGGAAGGCAGGGACCTCTATACCACTCCTTGGAGAGGGGGATGAAGCTTATTGGAAGGCCAGGGACCTCTATACCACTCCTTGGAGAAGAGGATGAGCTTATTGGAAGGCAGGGACCTCTACCACTCCTTGGAGAGGAGGACTAAGCTTATTGGGAAGGCAGGGACCTCTATACCACTCCTTGGAGAGGAGGATGAAGCTTATTGGAAGGCAGGGACCTCTATACCACTCCTTGGAGAGGAGGATGAAGCTTATTGGAAGGCAGGGACCTCTATACCACTCCTTGGAGAGGAGGATGAAGCTTATTGGAAGGCAGGGACCTCTCTACCACTCCTTGGAGAGGAGGATGGAAGCTTATTGGAAGGCAGGGACCTCTATACCACTCCTTGGAGAGGAGGATGAAGCTTATTGGAAGGCAGGGACCTCTATACCACTCCTTGGAGAGGAGGATGAAGCTTATTGGAAGGCAGGGACCTCTATACCACTCCTTGGAGAGGAGGATGAAGCTTATTGGAAGGCAGGGACCTCTATACCACTCCTGGAGAGGAGGATGAAGCTTATTGGAAGGCAGGGACCTCTATACCACTCCTTGGAGAGGGGGATGAAGCTTATTGGAAGGCAGGGACCTCTATACCACTCCTTGGAGAGGAGGATGAAGCTTATTGGAAGGCAGGGACCTCTATACCACTCCTTGGAGAGGAGGATGAAGCTTATTGGAAGGCAGGGACCTCTATACCACTCCTTGGAGAGGAGGATGAAGCTTATTGGAAGGCAGGGACCTCTATACCACTCCTTGGAGAGGAGGATGAAGCTTATTGGAAGGCAGGGACCTCTATACCACTCCTTGGAGAGGAGGATGAAGCTTATTGGAAGGCAGGGACCTCTATACCACTCCTTGGAGAGGAGGATGAAGCTTATTGGAAGGCAGGGACCTCTATACCACTCCTTGGAGAGGAGGATGAAGCTTATTGGAAGGCAGGGACCTCTATACCACTCCTTGGAGAGGAGGATGAAGCCGGACCATAGACACTGATCTAAGGTCTGGTTGTACATTTCTCTGTGTAGCTTTATGTTTGAAGTTCTTTGAACTCCATGAGGGAGCAAGTTTACATTTTGGGTAAAAAAAGTAGAGAATCAGACCACATCTCTAACCTCAGCAGGTGGTACACCCTCTGGAGGATGACAGCGTAACAACACTTCCTGGTTCAACGCTACTTCCTTCCCCATTGGCTCCTCCTCAAAGTTCTTCCTCAGGTCTGAAAAGGTGGGAAGACATGAAAATCATCAAAACATGAAAAACCTGTTTTATTTAAGCTTTATATATCCGGGAAGTCTCATTGAGGTCAGAATACCTCTTCTACAAGTAACCTGGAACATGAAAAACAAGTTTTATTTAAGCGTTATATACAGTGGGGAAAAAAAGTATTTAGTCAGCCACCAATTGTGCAAGTTCTCCCACTTAAAAAGATGAGAGAGGCCTGTAATTTTCATCATAGGTACACGTCAACAATGACAGACAAATTGGGAGAAAAAAAATCCTGAAAATCACATTGTAGGATTTTTTATGAATTTATTTGCAAATTATGGTGGAAAATAAGTATTTGGTCACCTACAAACAAGCAAGATTTCTGGCTCTCACAGACCTGTAACTTCTTCTTTAAGAGGCTCCTCTGTCCTCCACTCGTTATCTGTATTAATGGCACCTGTTTGAACTTGTTATCAGTATAAAAGACACCTGTCCACAACCTCAAACAGTCACACTCCAAACTCCACTATGGCCAAGACCAAAGAGCTGTCAAAGGACACAAGAAACAAAATTGTAGACCTGCACCAGGCTGGGAAGACTGAATCTGCAATAGGTAAGCAGCTTGGTTTGAAGAAATCAACTGTGGGAGCAATTATTAGGAAATGGAAGACATACAAGACCACTGATAATCTCCCTCGATCTGGGGCTCCACGCAAGATCTCACCCCGTGGGGTCAAAATGATCACAAGAACGGTGAGCAAAAATCCCAGAACCACACGGGGGTACCTAGTGAATGACCTGCAGAGAGCTGGGACCAAAGTAACAAAGCCTACCATCAGTAACACACTACGCCGCCAGGGACTCAAATCCTGCAGTGCGAGACGTGTCGCCCTGCTTAAGCCAGTACATGTCCAGGCCCGTCTGAAGTTTGCTAGAGTGCATTTGGATGATCCAGAAGAGGATTGGGAGAATGTCATATGGTCAGATGAAACCAAAATATAACTTTTTTGGTAAAAACTCAACTCGTCGTGTTTGGAGGACAAAGAATGCTGAGTTGCATCCAAGGAACACCATACCTACTGTGAAGAATGGGGGTGGAAACATCATGCTTTGGGGCTGTTTTTCTGCAAAGGGACCAGGACGACTGATCCGTGTAAAGGAAAGAATGAATGGGGCCATGTATTGTGAGATTTTGAGTGAAAACCTCCTTCCATCAGCAAGGGCATTGAAGATGAAACGTGGCTGGGTCGTTCAGCATGACAATGATCCCAAACACACCGCCCGGGCAACGAAGGAGTGGCTTCGTAAGAAGCATTTCAAGGTCCTGGAGTGGCCTAGCCAGTCTCCAGATCTCAACCCCATAGAAAATCTTTGGAGGGAGTTGAAAGTCCGTGTTGCCCAGCGACAGCCCCAAAACATCACTGCTCTAGAGGAGATCTGCATGGAGGAATGGGCCAAAATACCAGCAACAGTGTGTGAAAACCTTGTGAAGACTTACAGAAAACGTTTGACCTGTGTCATTGCCAACAAAGGGTATATTGAGAAACTTTTGATATTGACCAAATACTTATTTTCCACCATAATTTGCAAATAAATTCATTAAAAATCCTACAATGTGATTTTCTGGAGAATTTTTTTTCTCATTTTGTCTGTCATAGTTGACGTGTACCTATGATGAAAATTACAGTTCTCTCTCATCTTTTTAAGTGGGAGAACTTGCACAATTGGTGGCTGACTAAATACTTTTTTTCCCCACTGTATATATATATATATATATATATTCGGGAAGTCCCATTGAGGTCAGAATACTTATTCTACAAGTGACCTGGAACATCAAAAACATCAAAACACAAAGAAAAAAACCACGAGAAACATGAAAAAGCTGCATAAGGCTCCTGTCAGTCATAGAAGATGATGACCATCTCTTTCTGCTGTGTCCATGAGCAAAGGCACCTAACTCCTAAACTGCTCCAGGGGCGTTGCTCTGGTTCCTGCTGCTGTGATCTCTGAGTGGACGATGGGAGAAGCAAATACACTAGACAAAGGAAAGGAAAATAATCTACTTCCTTCTCTTCCTCTTCTTTGAATCACAAACATGTTTTCCTACTCTGGAGATAGCAGATAGTACACAGTCTCTCTCTCTCTCTGTCTCTCTGTCTCTCTCTCTCTCTCTCTCTCTCTCTCTCTCTTTCTCTCTCTCTCTCTCTCTCTCTCTCTCTCTCATCTTCTCTCTCTCTTTCCATCTCTCTTTTGCTCTCTCTCTCTCTCTGTCTCTCTCTCTCTCTCTCTCTCTCATTTCAAATGTCATATTATGTCTATATAAAGTGTTGTAACAATGTGCAAATAGTTAAAGTACAAATGGGAAAATAAATAAACATAAATATGGGTTGTATTTACAATGGTGTTTGTTCTTCACTGGTTGCCCTTTTCTTGTGGCAACAGGTCACAAATCTTGCTGCTGTGATGGCACACTGTGGTATTTCACCAAATAGATATGGGAGTTTATCAAAATTGGGTTTGTTTTCAAATTCTTTGTGGATCTCTGTAATCTGAGGGAAATATGTGTCTCTAATATGGTCACACATTTGGCAGGAGGTTCGGAAGTGCAGCTCAGTTTCCACCTCATTTTGTGGGCAGTGTGCACATAGCCTGTCTTCTCTTGAGAGCCATGTCTGCCTACGGCGGCCTTTCTCAATAGCAAGGCTATGAGTCTGTACATAGTCAAAGCATTCCTTAATTTTTGGGTCAGTCACAGTGGTCAGGTATTCTGCCACTGTGTACTCTCTGTTTAGGGCCAAATAGCATTCTAGTTTGCTCTGTTTTTTTGTTAATTCTTTCCAATGTGACAAGCCATTATGTTTTTGTTTTCTCATGATTTGATTGGGTGTAATTGTGTTGTTGTTATTGTCCAGGGCTCTGTGGGGTCTGTTTGTGTTTGTGAACAGAGCCCCAGGACCAGCTTGCTTAGGGGACTCTTCTCCAGGTTCATCTCTCTGTAGGTGATGGCTTTGTTATGGAAGGTTTGGGAATCACTTCCTTTTAGGTGGTTGTAGAATTGAATGGCTCTTTTCTGGATTTTGATAATTAGCGGGTATCGGCCTAATTCTGCTCTGCATGCATTATTTGGTGTTTTATGTTGTACACAGAGGATATCTTTGCTGAATTCTGCATGCAGAGTCTCAATTTGGTGTTTGTCCCATTTTGTGAATTATTGGTTGGTGAGCGGACCCCAGACCTCACAACCATAAAGGGCAATGGGTTCTATAACTGATTCAAGTAATTGTAGTGTGTGCAGTATTCTATATATTTAAACCTACTGGATATCTCTACTGTTATAAACCACTATGAGAGTCTCCTCTCTACAGGATAGCTCTACTGTTATAAACCACTATGAGAGTCTCCTCTCTACAGGATATCTCTACTGTTATAAACCACTATGAGAGTCTCCTCTCTACAGGATATATCTACTGTTATAAACCACTATGAGAGTCTCCTCTCTACAGGATATCTCTACTGTTATAAACCACTATGAGAGTCTCCTCTCTACAGGATATCTCTACTGTTATAAACCACTATGAGAGTCTCCTCTCTACAGGATATCTCTACTGTTATAAACCACTATGAGAGTCTCCTCTCTACAGGATATCTCTACTGTTATAAACCACTATGAGAGTCTCCTCTCTACAGGATATCTCTACTGTTATAAACCACTATGAGAGTCTCCTCTCTACAGGATATCTCTACTGTTTATAAACCACTATGAGAGTCTCCTCTCTACAGGATATCTCTACTGTTATAAACCACTATGAGAGTCTCCTCTCTACAGGATATCTCTACTGTTATAAACCACTATGAGAGTCTCCTCTCTACATGATATCTCTACTGTTATAAACCACTATGAGAGTCTCCTCTCTACAGGATATCTCTACTGTTATAAACCACTATGAGAGTCTCCTCTCTACAGGATATCTCTACTGTTATAAACCACTATGAGAGTCTCCTCTCTACAGGATATCTCTACTGTTATAAACCACTATGAGAGTCTCCTCTCTACAGGATATATCTACTGTTATAAACCACTATGAGAGTCTCCTCTCTACAGGATATCTCTACTGTTATAAACCACTATGAGAGTCTCCTCTCTACAGGATATCTCTACTGTTATAAACCACTATGAGAGTCTCCTCTCTACAGGATATCTCTACTGTTATAAACCACTATGAGAGTCTCCTCTCTACAGGATATATCTACTGTTATAAACCACTATGAGAGTCTCCTCTCTACAGGATATCTCTACTGTTATAAACCACTATGAGAGTCTCCTCTCTACAGGATATCTCTACTGTTATAAACCACTATGAGAGTCCCCTCTCTACAGGATATCTCTACTGTTATTTTACATTTTACATTTTAGTCATTTAGCAGACGCTCTTAACCAGAGCGACTTACAGGAGCAATTAGGGTTAAGTGCCTTGCTCAAGGGCACATTAACGTCATTTAGCAGACGCTCTTAGCCAGAGCGACTCACAAATTGGTGCGTTCACCCTATAGCCAGTGGGATAACCACTTTACAATTTGGGGGGGGGGGGGGGGGGGGTTAGAAGGAATACTTTATCCTATAGTTATAAACCACTATGAGAGTCCCCAAAAACACATTTTAACCACCGGCAGGTCAATAGTCTCTCTTATAAAATATGTACAGAGATTGTATCTTAGTTGAGAATAACCTGTATGAATAAAGGGTTTGTCCTCGGAGGCTGTGTTGAGTCATCTCTAAATGGACATAATTTTTTTTTTTACATTTTACATTTTTAGTCATTTAGCAGACGCTCTTATCCAGAGCGACTTACAGTTAGTGAGTGCATACATTATTTTTTTATACTGGTCCCCCGTGGGAATCAAACCCACAACCCTGGCATTGCAAACGCCATGCTCTACCAACTGAGCTACACCCCTGCCGGCCATTCCCTCCCCTACCCTGGACGACGCTGGGCCAATTGTGTGCCGCCCCATGGGTCTCCCGGTCGCGGCCGGTTACGACAGAGCCTGGATTCAAACCAGGATCTCTAGTGGCTCAACTAGCACTGCGCTGCAGTGCCTTAGACCACTGCGCCACTCGGGGACCCGATAATACCAACATTACAGTCATACAGAGACTACAGTATACACAAATAAAATGGTCAATACTCCCAGGAGAGTCTAGGGAGACTACATCATACACAAATCAAATGGTCAATACTCCCAGGAGAGTCTAGGGAGACTACAGTATACACAGATCAATCAATCAATACTCCCAGGAGAGTCTAGGGAGAATCAGAGATTGAATTATCAATACAGTTGGGATGACGTATGCTTTATTTCAGAGTAATACTTACAAGCGATCCTGACATATGCCTTTTGGCTCTTCTGGGTTCCCGTAGTGCTCCAGGCGACACACTGGCACCAGTAGTCGTCCAGACCAAAGATCTTCTCAACCTGCTGTCTGGAGATGTCGATCTGCACCTGCATGATGGGCAGACCTGCAACACAGACCATAGAGACCACAGTTAGGACAAAGACCAAAGGCATAGGTCTAGTTCAGGATTGAGAAGGAGTTCATAGGTAGGATTCAGAATAGAGTCAGGAGACAATTAGGACACTGAGCAGATGTCTAGTTTGAGATTAAGATTGACTTCAGGTTCAGTCTAGGTTTAGGACACAGTTCAGAGTCAGGACACTGGCAGGGGTCAGCGTAAAGGAGTTGAGTTTATGTTTAGTCTGGGGTCATGGCATACATTAGATCAGACACAAGCAGCAGATACACAAGTCAGGATCCAAAAGGAGTCTTGAACTACCAAAGGTAGAACTGAGGTCTATGTAGAATCCATCTAGAGACAGAACAGAGGTCTATATAGAATCCATCTAGAGACAGAACTGAGGTCTATATAGAATCCATCTAGAGACAGAACTGAGGTCTGTATAGAATCCATCTAGAGACAGAACTGAGGTCTATATAGAATCCATCTAGAGACAGAACTGAGGTCTATATAGAATCCATCTAGAGACAGAACTGAGGTCTATATAGAATCCATCTAGAGACAGAACTGAGGTCTATATAGAATCCATCTAGAGACAGAACTGAGGTCTATATATAATCCATCTAGAGACAGAACTGAGGTCTATGTAGAATCCATCTAGAGACAGAACTGAGGTCTATATAGAATCCATCTAGAGACAGAACTGAGGTCTATATGGAATCCATCTAGAGACAGAACTGAGGTCTATATAGAATCCATCTAGAGACAGAACTGAGGTCTATATGGAATCCATCTAGAGACAGAACTGAGGTCTATATAGAATCCATCTAGAGACAGAACTGAGGTCTATATAGAATCCATCTAGAGACAGAACTGAGGTCTATATTGAATCCTGCAAACTTGGTTTGAGAAGAGAACATTACAATGGCCGCCAGCAAATAAGGATTAATTCACAACAAGAGGCTCAAAGCCTAAAAACAAACAAGCCCAACACCAAATATATTTAAACTCAGTTTTTCACAATTCCTGACATTTAATCTGTCACGATTGTCTAAGGAGGAGGACCAATGCGCAGCGTTGAAGGTGAATATATTTATTATATCAATGATCACACGATCAAAACAACAGACGATAACGTGATGTCAACGGTTTAACACAAACCAAATAAGAACAAGAAACCACAAACAATAAATGCCTAACGGCTACCTAAGTATGACTCCCAATCAGAGACAACGAGCTACAGCCCTCTCTGATTGGGAGCCACCCTGGCCAACATAGAAATACAACGACTAGAACATAAACAAATGAACACCCTGGCTCAACATACGAGAGTCCCCAGAGCCAGGGCGTGACAGTACCCCCCCCCCCCCAAAGGCGCGGACTCCGACCGCGCCAACCAAAACCAACAGGGGAGGGACCGGGTGGGCACTCCGCCTCGGCGGCGGATCCGGCTCCGGACATGACCCCCACTCCTTCTCTAAACCCCCAAAGTACCCCTGGTCCGGTCTGGCCCTGCTGACCGGAGCTGGACTGCACACTGGTGGAGCGGATAGCTTCAGCTCCGTAGTGGAGCAGTTGACCGGGACCTTACCAGGCACCGGTGACCCAGGCACGGGTTGTGCTGGACTGACGACGCGCACCCCTGGCTTGGTGCGTGGAGGAGGAACGGGCCTTACCAGGCTGACGACGCACACCGTAGGCTTGGTGCGTGGAGCAGGGACAGGCCGGACTGGGCTGACGAAGCACACCACTGACTTGGTGCGGGGAGCAGGAACGGGCCGAGCCGGGCTGACGAAGCGCACCACAGACTTGGTGCGGGGAGCAGGAACGGGTCGGACCGGGCTGACGAAGCGCACCACTGACTTGGTGCGGGGAGCAGGAACGGGCCGCGCCGGGCTGACGAAACGCACCACTGACTTGGTGCGGGGAGCAGGAGCGAGCCGGACCGGGCTGACGAAGCGCACCACTGACTTGGTGCGGGGAGCAGGAACGGGCCGAGCTGGGCTGACGAAGCACACCCCTGACTTGGTGCGGGGAGCAGGAACGGGCCGTGCCGGGCTGACGAAGCGCACCACTGACTTGGTGCGAGTGGCAGGAACAGGCCGGACCGTACTGGGAACACACACCACTGGCCCCACGTGGGGATCAGGAACAGGCCGGACCGGACTGGCAACACACGCCAGTACCTCTCGCCGTGCCTCTACATCCTCCATCCCCTCTTCGACCAGTGGCCCCCGTAACCTGGCGGCCTCCTCTGGCAACCCGCTGGGCCACTCTATCGCGGCCTCCTGCTGGTCCGACGTCGTGAGCCCCCCCCTAAAAATTTTCTGGGAGTCTCTCTTCCCCGTGGGCCAGGCCTCTATAATTCTCGCCCAACTCTCGCTCTTCTGCTTCCAATCTCCGCCATTCAGCTCCTCATTCGGCTTGACCCAGTCGAAGCTCTTCCTCCACTGTTCCCAAGTCCACCCACTCTGCTCCTCACTAGGCTGCTTGGTCCAGTTCTGGTGGTTTCTTCTGTCATGATCGTCTAAGGAGGAGGACCAATGCGCAGCGTTGAAGGTGAACATATTTATTATATCAATGATCACACGATCAAAACAACAGACGATAACGTGATGTCAACGGTTTAACACAAACCAAATAAGAACAAGAAACCACAAACAATAAATGCCTAACGGCTACCTAAGTATGACTCCCAATCAGAGACAACGAGCTACAGCCCTCTCTGATTGGGAGCCACCCTGGCCAACATAGAAATACAACGACTAGACCATAAACAAATGAACACCCTGGCTCAACATACGAGAGTACCCAGAGCCAGGGCGTGACATAATCCTAGTAAAAATTCCCTGTCTTAGGTCAGTTAGGATCCCCACTTTATTTTAAGAATGTGAAATGTCAGAATAATAGTAGAGAGAATGATTTATTTCAGATTTTATTTTTTTCATCACATTCCCAGTGGGTCAGAAGTTGGATGGATTCTTGGGATTAACTTGGGTCAAACGTTTCGGGTAGCCTTCCACAAGCTTCCCACAATAAGTTGGGTGAATTTTGGCCCATTCCTCCTGACAGAGCTGGTGTAACTGAGTCAGGTTTGTAGGCCTCCTTGTTCGCACACGCTTTTTCAGTTCTGCCCACACATTTTCTATAGGATTGAGGTCAGGGCTTTGTGATGGCCACTCCAATACCTTGACTTTGTTGTCCTTAAGCCATTTTGCCACAACTTTGGGGTCATTGTCCATTTGGAAGACCCATTTGCGACCAAGCTTTAACTTCCTGACTGATGTCTGACATAATTTTCCTTCCTCATGATGCCATCTATTTTGTGAAGTGTTGCCAGCCCCGTGCTTCACGGTTGGGATGGTGTTCTTCGGCTTGCAAGCCTTCCCCTTTTTTTCCTCCAAACATAACGATGGTCATGTCCCGAGTGGCGCAGTGGTCTAAGGCACTGCATCGCAGTGCTAGCTGTGCCACTAGAGATCCTGGTTTGAATCCAGGCTCTGTTGTAGCCAGCCGCGACCGGGAGACCCATGGGGCGGCGCACAATTGGACTAGGGTAGGGGAGGGAATGGCCGGCAGGGAATGTAGCTCAGTTGGTAGAGCATGTCGTTTGCAACGCCAGGGTTGTGGGTTTGATTCCCACGGGGGGTATGAATAAAATAATAATGTATGTACTCACTAACTGTAAGTCGCTCTGGATAAGAGCGTCTGCTAAATGACATAAATTATGGACAAACAGTTCTATTTTTGTTTCATCAGACCAGAGGACATTTCTCCAAAAAGTACGATCTTTGTCCCCATGTGCAGTTGCAAACCATAGTCTGGCTTTTTTATGGCGGTTTTGGAGCAGTGGCTTCTTCCTTGCTGAGCGGCCTTTCAGGTTATGTCGACATAGGACTTGTTTTCCTGTGGATATAGATACTTTTGTACCTGTTTCCTCCAGCATCTTCACAAGGTCCTTTGCTGTTGTTCTGGGATTGATTTGCACTTTTCGCACCAATGTACGTTCATCTCTAGGAGAAAGAACGTGTCTCCTTCCTGAGTGGTATGACGGCTGCATGGTCCCATGGTGTTTATACTTGCGTACTATTGTTTGTACAGATGAACTCCCGAGTGGCACAGTGGTCTAAGGCACTGCATCGCCGTGCCAGCTGTGCCACTAGAGATCCTGGTTCGAATCCAGGCTCTGTTGTAGCCGGCCACGACCGGGAGACCCATGGGGCGGCGCACAATTTGTCCAGGGTAGGGGAGGGAATGGCCGGCAGGAATGCAGCTCAGTTGGTAGAGCATGGCGTTTGCAACGCCAGAGTTGTGGGTTTGATTCCCAAGGGGGGCCAGTATGAAAAAAATATAATAATGTATGCATTCACTAACTGTAAGTTGCTCTGGATAAGAGCGTCTGCTAAATGACTAAAAATGTAATGAACGTGGTACCTTCAGGCGTTTGAAAATTGCTCCCAAGGATGAACCAGACTTGTGGAGGTCTACAAGCTTTATTCTGAGGTCTTGGATGATTTTCCCATGATGTCAAGCAAAGAGGCACTGAGTTTGAAGGTAGGCCTTGAAAAACATCCACAGGTACACCCCCAATTGACTCAAATGATGTCAATTAGCCTATCAGAAGCTTCAAAAGCCATGACATCATTTTCTGGAATTTTCCGAGCTGTTTAAAGGCACAGTCAACTTAGTGTATGTAAACTTCTGACCCACTGGAATTGTGATACAGTGAATTATAAGTGAAATAATATGTCTGTAAACAATTGTTGGAAAAACTACTTGTGTCATGCACAAAGTACAGTATCTCACACAAGTGAGTACACCCCTCACATTTTTGTAAATATTTGAGTATATCTTTTCATGTGACAACACTGAAGAAATGACACTTTTCTACAATGTAAAGTAGTGAGTGTACAGCTTGTATAACAGTGTACATTTTCTGTCCTCTCAAAATAACTCAACACACAACCATTAATGTCTAAACCGCTGGCACCGCTAAGTACACCGCTAAGTGAAAATGTCAAAATTGGGCCCAATTAGCCATTTTCCCTCTCC